GGGGGGGGGGCGTCTAAGACCACAACACCATTCACTCACTTCAGGCTTTCGTTCTACCCCTAGTTAGTTTGGAAATAAATACAAATTTACAATTATCAAAACATATTCATAAAAATAGCAATATATGATCTAGAGCTGTCAATAATTCCTAGTTAAGATTAATGCCTACTATTTGAATTTTGTTTACTGTGTTTTTTGTCACGTCAACAAGGAGAAGAACAATAATTGTACCACTTTTTTATTTCTTATTTTTCTTAATTTAAAACAGATCTGAAGCTGTTATTACTAATGTGATGTAAGGGTGTTTATATCTGTTCAGAACTCAAGAATAGTGGCATTCCAGCAGAGATCGGGAAAAGTTCGGTTCTTGTATATAGAAAGGCACGACAGTTTTACTCCACCTTCTAACTTGGGTGGTGTGACTAAAGTGCCTCTAGATTAGTTTATCTTTGGTAAACTTTGAATATGATGTTTGCAAGAGCTTTAATAACTAGTTACATTAGAAGAGCTTATTGTTATTATGGTACAGTCAAGATAACGCCTTCTTTATGGCACGGCCAAGTGGTTAGGGCGCTTGACTCGCAATTTGAGGGTCGCAGGTTCGAATCAAACACGTTAGCCCTTTCAGCCGTGGGGGCGTTATAATGTGACGGTCAATCCCACTATTCATTGGTAAAAGAGTAGCCCAAGAGTTGGCGGTGCGTGGTGATGAATAGCAGCCTTCTCTCTAGTCTTTCACAGCTAAATTAAGGACGGCTAGTGCAGATAGCCCTCGTGTAGCTTTGCGCGAAATTCAAAACAAACAAAAACAATGTCCCATTTCGGTGGCTCAGCTGTAAGCTTGGTGGCTTATAAGGCTAAGATTCGGGGTTTGTGTACTTGCAATAAGGTTTTAGATAGCCCATTCCGCGGCTTTACGCTTAAATAAACAAACAAAAATTTTCTATAAACTAATATTTTGCAACAGATACCTGATAAGGTTTCCTGCTTTCCCTAGTTCCGTTGTTAGATTCTTCCATGCTTGAAATACCATTTGTTTCTTCTCACTGTCAAGACAAGAAATCGGATCGGAATCAAACGATTGTTTTAGACTTTGGGCTGCAATATCCAAATCTTTAGTAGGTGGTGTTGAAGACAGCGTTAGGAAGTCAGTGAACCCTTTTGAAAAATCTTCAAAATCAATTTTTCCATCACCGTCGTGATCCAGATCATCAAATATAGCATCGGCATCTTGAGCAACGATTCCAAACTTAGCACATAGTTCCCTTACTTCATCTTGACCTAAGTAGCCTGTCCCTCTGGTGTCACAAGCCTTAAACAGATTCTCTAATTCAGCAGAAGCCATTGTGAATTACGTAAATGAAGAACCACTAAAATAGCATTCATATTATGGTAACTGAAGTTTACATTCGAAGCTTGATGAACTGATGAACTTCAGTGTAGGAGAAAACTAAAATTTTATAAAACAAAATCTTAATTAATTGGATTGTTATTTGAAAGGCTTATTCACAACAATAGAATTCAATAAAATATATGAAATAGTTATACTGTTATCCTTTTATGGCATCATCGTAGAATCAAACATTAGGAACCACCAAGGAGGGGTGGGGGTGTTTTTAATCATTATCTTCAAATAAATAATAGCGGCTAATTAATATCCACTGATCTTTAAAGTTCTTTATTTTGTTAATTATATTAGGGATATATATTTCAGGAGTGATACGATTTATCAATGAATAGACACTGGTAACACAGGCCTGCGATAGTTTTATTGTCTTGATTTTTTTTACATCTTATACGGTAATTCCTGTACGCTGAATCCGAAAATGGTATCCATTTTTCTCCATCACGTACAGATGTTTCACAAAAGGTAGTATGTACTTTTACATAAGTGAATGATATTTATTGAAATCGGGTCACATTTTGTTATGCTTAAAATGTTGACAACCACTGGATATAGATTTCTCTAGACCAATCGCGACGTGAGAGTCTTATCGATCGTTCTAGAACCCAAACATAAAAATAAAAAATGTTCATTGTGGTAAACGAAATAATAATTTGATCTAAGTAAGAGCTTGTTTTTTCTTCCCGATTTGTAAAAAAAAAAAATCTTACGTGATAGAAAAAAAAGAATATTATTTTCTAAATCTACGTAGCTGAATTATGGAAAATGCGTTATTAAAACCAAAACAACTTTTATGAAGTTTAAATTCGCCGGCCTGTGTAATTTAAGAAATTCCACGATGTATAAAGTTACACTCGTAAGATATTTCATGATTTAAAAGGTCACACTGATGACTTAAGATATTCCATGGTGAATAAAAGTCACATTGCTCATACTTGATGTGAGTGTGAAATTATTTATTTCATAACAGTTGTTTTTGAGAAACATGTTACACGCACACATTTAGTGCAAATTTGATCGTAAGATCAGATACTTTACTCCCTAATAAAACAGAATAATAAAATATATTTTATGAACAATCAAACGATTACCTGCAACAGTTCGTAAAACCACTGGCAGAAAAATAAAAAACTCTATATCGCTAAGAATAAACAGACTACGAATAAAGCATATGTTAAAATGGAGGCTGTGATGCGTGATCTGTACAAAACGCTAAACGGAGTAAGTTGTAAGAGTCATTGATCATATTACTGAGCGTTAAAAACAATATTACATGTGTTGTTCAACGGTCTAATTCACCCTAGGTGTATTATACCTATTCGTACGATACAATACATGCATATATTTTAAGAACACGAATTCTCAACATGCTGACATGCGATATTTAACGAAATATTAAAAATGAATATGTTAAGATGGCGGCCAGTCGTGGCTGCATAAACCCAATTGTGAAGAAGAATGAAATATTAAATTTATTGAGAACAACGTTTCAAAAATACAAATGTGTAATTTGATAAATCTACTTATAAGTGCGTAAAACCTGAAGTCTGTCACGTGAACCCCAAAATAATACTTGAATATTTTATGTTGAAATATATCGAAAACATAAAAATGAAATATCAAAATATTCTTAAAATTCAAAGGTACACAAAATTCCGATGATCATAGGACATGCAGAACAGAGAAAATACACTGTTTACACTGTCACAACTTCCAAATTAACCCTTTTAACTATTGGAACCAAGTGTCTATTGACTCACTCTGTCCTAAGTGTCACATACTCTCCATAGCATATCTTATATTTATTGCGAACGGTGGTGTCTGTCCTAGTTTTCGTCTGTTTCCCGTTTGAAAAGCTGCGCACGTAGGCAAAGCTCAACATTAACTTTTGAAATGACGGGAAAACAGACACGAATAACGTTGATATCAAACTGTATTTCGCAAGCAAGATATTCTATACTATGTTGTTAGGAATTACTCACACTATCATTCACATTTCAAAATGTGACGTAACTTCAAAAATAAGAATGTAGATTCACCGTATGTTATTGTTGAGCGGCTCCGAGCATGAGTGAAATGTTCAACGGTTACTTTTCGCGGTGGGCGATATAAGTAGCTCAGAGTTTTGGCTCTGAGTGAAACCAAGAGGGAAACACAATTAACATTTTTTAAGTCCATGAAATAATTTAAATTAAGAGACTAACTTAAACTATTTCCGTCACTGGGGGACGGGTATTTTTGTTAGATTAATTTTAACTTTTCCTATCACTGGAGATGGGTACTTTTGCTTGTAGTGACTATTTCACCAATCCAAAAAACCTCATTGTGAAATATATCGCATAAAGACCATAAATAGAAAACATAATTCAGAACTAATATTTTTACCAAAAGAACTTCAAAAACTATTTTCCCTTTCGGTGAGTTGGGTTCTTATTTTAAGAATAGGAGAGGTGTTGTCATGCATAGTGGATCCCTGTTACTGTACTTTCTACCTTCTTAAAAATCGGATGTTGATCTTGGGATTATTTATTTCTTCTTTATATTTATATACATATATATGTTTATTTATTTACTTAAAAAAAACGATAGGTAAACTGTTTACCAAAATTTCTGAAGAAACATAGAACTAACTCATTGTACTAAGAAACAAAAATTATGAAGTAGGAACAGTTCTGGTCTTCCGAATCAATGGCAGTGTATTTATACATCTTAAACCTGGAATTAATAATTAATTACAGAATATCGGTTGAATAAGATAGGACAATAAAACAAAAATAGAGAGCAGTTCAATAAGATTTTTCCCGTTGGATTTATTTCCATGCTAAGGAACGTCATGAAAGTTCACCAGATATTTAAAACATCCATTTCTAAGATATCTAACTGGAGTTGTCTCCAAGAATAGAGGGCTGATGATATTTTAGCTTTGATTGATAAAAAAGAAAAAGAGGTTTAATAGAAAAGCTTATACTGAAAGTAATCATTATGATTAATTTTGTTAAACATTAAGTTATCCCATCTTTGTGCTTCAATTAAAAACATTTTCCAGCGGATCATCGGTAAGTTTGAGGACTTACACTTTTAAAATCCTGAGTTTGATTCACCGCCGAGGACAGAGTGCAGGTGGCCCATTGTGTAGCTAAGAATAAACAAACAAATCCAATTACAAATATGAGGGAGTCGACGTTACAACGCTGGTACACTAGAATTGATTAGTTTTCTATTAAACCTCGTAAAACAATGTGCCGACACTGTTTGTTTTAGACGGTTTGATAGTGACCTTGGTGTCAACTACGTACTTACCTATATTAATGGACTAATCCTTAGTTCAATATTGACCTAATAGCATCTATTATCATCTCTCAATAATAGGCCGTACAGTGAGATCACCTGTACTTCCTTGAGCACAGCCTATATCTGGAAAGTCTTGGTCGACAGATGCTTACAAACAGTTAACTCCCAGCAGTGCTTGTAGTTATCAAACGGATATAGACGATAGGTCTGAAGTTCTGTAAGCAAATAACGAAGTGACCTACACGTTTTTCTTGTTGATGCAAGTTAATAATCTGATATCGCTTTATTTTCTGGGGTTGATTCGATAAACTTTGAACACTGGTAGTTTTTACAAAGCTAATGTTGACGATCACTATTAATGTTAGTAAGTCTACGACAATAATAGTGTCCACCTGAGAGAGACATTTTCTTTATCCAATCTGATGATTCCGTACTCGGATTTTCTTTCTATTCCCTTCAGTACTTTTATAAGGGGTATCTATAATAACTCACTGGCACTGATCATAAATTCTCAAAATATTTATACTGCCGACGTTAAAAAGAAATACTTTCCAACTAGAATAGTTCTGGGACCAAGCTGACCCGATGGCTCAAGGTTTCTTGATGTCACTAAACCAGTCCTGACTTGAAATGTTATGGTGGTACATCCAAAAATAAAACTTATTATTCCGAAACTTCTTGCACACTTATGTGATTCTGAAAGCAAGCAGGTTCAGCCACTAACAATTTTCTTATGTCAGTAAGTCAGCAACGGTTCCAGTTATTTTTCTGTCCCATTTATTGAAATGGAAACCAACAGGCTTAAACACTGGGATCCTTCTGATGTCACTAGTGACCTAAACTAATAAATTTGTGCAATAAGCATCTGTATAATCATCAGTTTGTTTCTGCGCCGTTTAAACACATAACTTAGGTAGTGGTACTCCACAAGTGTACAATGCGTCGAAACACCTGTTGGAAGAACTCTCGTTGCCAGTGTTTGTTTCTACCTCTATCGATACACAAGGCAGCATCATATATGCTGTCTCGTGTGACCCATATTTATTTATATACCTTTGTCTTTAAATACCACGTTGGCCCAGCATGCACACGAAAGAGTATAGTGTGATGAAAGATGGTTCAACTTTTATCGTTAATTTGGAGTTTTATTATTACTATCAAAATATTTATTTAATTCCTTACATCAAGCAAAAACAAGACTGATACTTATGTAAAACTCCTTATGACTTCTGTATCAGCGAGAGGTTTTACGATTCCTTGTTGACTTGTTTGTTTTTATACGGCACAAAGCTACACAATGGGCTATCTCTGCTGTGCTCACCGCTGGTATCGAACCCTGGTTTTTAGCATTATAAAGCTTCAGACCGCTGATGGACCCTCGATGATTTCTTGATAATACGTGGATTTACGTACACGAATCTCAGTTTACAGTGAAGTTTCTTATAAAGTATGAATGTTATTAATGATTTCAACAGGGTTTCACAACACTAAGCTACCAACTCTTGCCATAAGCTACATTTGTATAAACATTTCGTGAAGCCTCATGCACTATAGTTCTTTGCTTTCGAGTTTAGTGTTCATATTGTTAAACTGGGTATTTTTTGTAATTTAACCATCTTAGGTTCCCAAAATTCACTTTTAAACAGAAATCTTAGGATCAAAATGACCCTACATATGTAATAGTTATTGGAAACACACTAGAATTTTTGTAAACAAGATTACTATATTTCAAAACACAATAAATAAAATACAGACATCATGCGATAACATTTATATAAATATTTGAAATGCATCAGTATTTAGGCGTATGCTGCAAACGGTTGCCGTGTGCTCAGTATAATTAAATTTTCCAGTTAACACGTTTCCTGAGTTTTTGACATTTTCACGAAGACATATTGCCCATCTTTCACGTATCTTTTGTACTAGACGATCTTCCTACCACTTGTTTTGAATTTCTGCTCCTTTTGCCGCACGAAACAACCCATGAATGATTCTTGTTTGGATTTATGGTTTCACCAACAGGCACAAGCTGGCCTAACGAGATCCCAGGAAAAAAATCCCGGGGGCCCCCTTGGAAAGTACGTAAAAAATAAATTACTGCTCTGTCAGCATAATAGAGAAAACAAAAAAATTTCTGGGCCCCTTCTAGCTTTTTCCCGGTAAAATTTTTGAGTCCAGTCCGCCCCCTCTCACCACTTCTTTTCCCAGCTGTCTTAGAAAAAAACCTTTTAGTTGACAGAGATCTCTCGTTCAATGGAAGATTCACAACAATTCAAATGACGTGAGCATTCAAACAGGCAATGTTCAAGCTATTTGAAAATATTACCTTTAGCCAACATCTGCTGATTCGTCTGGTAGTGTATGCAGAAACCATTTGATCACACGAGTTCACACCACTTTTTGTTGTAAAAATGAGTAATGTCAGATTTCTTTTCCGCTGCAGATACAGAATCAGTTGTGTGAATTGATGACAGGAAAACAACAGCTTTACACTTTTTAAGAACATAACTGACAAGCGTTAGTTTATCCTGAAAATCTAATAAACTTATGGGGACTTTGTGGTTGGAAAGAAACTCTATTGGAATTTCTGGGTGACTTTTACGAATGGTACCAATAAAGTTAGTTTCTTCTCTAATAGATTCTTGACCAATTGCACTCTAGTAAAAACGTTGTCAGTAGTTATGTGTTCGTACAGGGCTCTCTAAAAACTATGGACAATTTGATTACATCTTTTCTCTGCAAATATGTTGTTGGAATTGCAAAAGACTCTTCCCCTAAGTAAATATCAGCGTTTAGAACATATGACTCTTTTTAGAATCACAGAACAACCAGAACTTTATACCGTGTTTTGCTGGTTTTGATGACATCTATTGCCTGATAAGACAGCGACCTTTGAGAGTTACTAGCTGTTCATCTGTTGTCACACTCTCAAATGAAAAAGAGAAACAAACGTTTCCCAGATCTCCGACACATGTAGTTGTATTAGAGCACTGGCGACTTCGACGGACATTTCTATCTTCAAATTGTAGGAATATTGTAATTGTCTTGAACTTTAGTGATATAGCTGCTCTGAAAACTGGCGTACCTTGTTCCTCAGACCACAACTCTTCTAAACTATCCCCACTAGATCGATAAACTCCCGCCAGTACACGAAGTATTTAGCAAGCACAAATCTCATTTTGTATATTGAATTTTAGCTACTGTCAAAGCATGTTGAACCATGCGTGTTGGCTACTTTATTGCAAAATTACATTAAGCATAAAGCGCGTATTAAAAGACTGTAATTAAGACGCTGAAATGCGTACTTTATTACACCTGGAGTGGGGTTCATTATGTTTCTCCACGAGAACTTCTTTGGACTTCTCTTCCCATCTCTCTTGTTTATTTCTTGAAAGGCAGATGTCGGCAGCAAAAATCTGAAAAGTTTCAGATTTTTGTCACTTAGCTCACTATTACTGTATTTATTCATTTGCACTATGCAATGTAGGGTCGACGTCAGTCGTCATCATCGCTGAATACCTCAGCTACGTATTCAGTTTCACCCCTCTGCAAAAGTTTCAAAATCTCCTGTTCAGTGAGAGTTTTTCGGCACATCTTACTGTTCATACAACACAGAACAAACTGAAAGAATTATCATACAAGAACTCCTTTTATACAAACAGCTCAAACAGACAAGTAGAGGCCTGTCTGGAATTCAATCAACATCGAAGTTAGACATTTTGGACCCTGTGTGATACTCAGTGACAAGGCTGGATTACCAAAAAACAAAATATTATTATTTTACCAAGTCAAAAACAAAATGGTACAGTAACTGCTGTACCTATGTGTAATATGGAGTCAGCCCCCCAGTGTCACAGCGGTATGTCTACGTATTTACAACGCTAGAATCCGGGTTTCGATACCAGTGGTGGGCAGAGCACAGATAGCCCATTGTATAGCTCTGTGCTTACTTACAAACAAACGAACAGTGTATCATATTACAACCTCATTAGCTTCGTTAAAATATCATCTGATGATATTTCATTATTTATTGAATTAATGTATTAGAGTGATAACTTATGTATCTGTATGTGCTGTATTCCTTTTGGAAATTTATAAAGATTTTAATATATATATTACTTCTCGTTGTCTGCTCCTTTTAACATTTGTAAGAGATGTGTGGCTTTGGAATCTAATAACTTTATTTTTACACTAGCTACTCAAATTACGTTCAATATCATCATTCTACTGCAGTACTTTGGTTAATTTAATTATACAATTTATTGTTGTGTTTTACAGTTTATTAAAACAGCCTCTGACTAGTTGTTTATTTTATTACCCTATATGTATATATATAGGTTTTCAAAGAGACCAAATACTCGAACGCTTTCTTCTTCTATTCTCCTTCTGTTCTTCTTCACTATTTCTGAAGAAAAATAGTGAATTATTCGAAAGCATTCGTGTTTAGGGTCTCGTTTGAAAACCATTACACCTTTTGTATGTGATCCTGTGTGCTAACTTCTTAATCAGAATACATATAAACAGAGTGTGGAAAATTTACAACACAGTTAGTACAGTTGGTATTATACGGTTGGTACTAAAAAAAATATTACGAAGACAGTTGAAACCAATTTAATTATCGTTTATTTCTGTAAGACGATAGAAATTAAACTACGTTCTAAATGATGTTGAGATTTGATAATGGTGTCTCGCTTTTCTAGTAAATCAGAGACAGAATACCACTATGGTTCTCCTTATAGACGGTTAGTATTCGTTATTTTATAATTTTTAATTTTTCTATATGTTCTATCGGGTAATTTCGTTAGATGTGCACTATTGCAATTAATGAATCTTAAGTGTTTTCTAAGTCACGGTGCATTATATTTTTCATTGATATTATTGATTATATTGTTTAAATATAAATTTGAATATTATTAATTACACCTATTATTTTTTCCTATATATATGAATATCATTTTACATTGTTACCTTATTACGTAGATTTAGAAATGACCTAAGTCTTCTATGTTGGCCAAGTCTCGGGAGGTATTGTTGGGATTACAGCCGAAATTGTGAGTGAAAGGAGACGTAATACAATACTTCGACTCATTGGCGTAACTACAAAAGATGCCCCCTCTAGATGAAAATAATTAGGCCTCCTATATTTATTTCCCAATTATTGTAATTATGATTATGACTGATTGATATCATTAACTTAAATGAAATTTCAAAATTAATCGAAACTTAAAATTGTATCTCGTATTATTTTCGAATTACACGTGTATCAAATTTCGGGTCAGTTAATTTACGCATTAGTGAAAGCGAAGTACGTAGTAGTATGCATGGTCGAACTACCTTATATATATATATATTGGGAACTGTGGTGTCTGTCCGAGTGTTCGTCTGTTTCCCGTTTGAAAAGCTGCGCACGCAGGCAAAGCTCAACATTCACTTTTGAAATGACGAGAGAACAGGCATGAATAATGTTGATGCCAAATTTTATTTCGCAAGCAGTATTTTCCACACTAAACTGTTAGGAATTAATCACACTATCATTCACATTTCAAATTGTGACATAACTTAAATAATAGAAATGTAGATTTACCGTATGTTATTGTTGAGCGGCTCTGAGCATGAGTGAAATGTTCAACAGTTAGTTTTCGCGGTGGGCGGTATAAGTAGCTCAGAGCTTTGGCTCTGGATGAAACCAAGAGG